TTTAAAAATAAGGATGGGATTTTCAGGATATAAAAGAAATAAGAGGTAACTGGCATTACTAGGAAATTCCCCAGCTTGGACTTTTTAACTTAGCATAGGCACAGACAGCACTTCTGGGACTATTTAATTTATATTTAATATTCACTTTTATGGTAGCCCTACATTCAATCCCATCTTCTGGTTGCCAGCCAAAGGGCTGGTAGGTCAGCACCATGGACAGAGAAATACTGTGCAAAATATTGCCTTTTATATTTTGCTAGATTTTTTCCTAATGTTTAATTCTTTCAATTGCAGTTTACATTTGAGATTATTTTGTATTAATTTCAGGTGTACAGCATAGTGGTTAGACAATCACATACATTACAAAGTGATCCCCCTAATATTTCAAGTACCCACCTGGCACCTAGAGTGTATGATGCTAAGTGAAATGTCAGGCAGAGAAAGATAAATACTATATGATTTCACTTACATGTGGAATCAAAAGGTCACACTTAAGGCTGCTTATCAAATGACAGCTGTGATAGCAGACGTATTACCAAGGAAAGACTGGTTTGAATGTTCCTCTGAGGACCGTGGGAAGAGAGTACCTCTGGGTTTGGGTCAGATCAGAGGATGGGGTCTTAAGGAAATAACCACTCCTCCAAGATGTCTCCAAGTAGCATGATCGCCTTCATTTATTGGCCTATATTGGTTCACCTTTTTCGACCATCTGCTTTTCTGTTCCCAAGGCACCAACATTTTCACGCTGAAGTAACTGTAAACATCTACCTAGAAAATGTGGAGAAAATTTGTTCTTTTTACCTGCCTACCACCTATGATCCTTTTTGCCTTTGCAAACTACTTTTCAAACAAATAAGCTGTTAAAAAAAGATTTTGAGGAATTTTTATGCTTTTAAGAAGGGTTTGTGATTATATTGAAGTTTCATTTTAAATGGGAGTTCCTGTCTTTTAGCAATAGATTCTGATAGTTACAAATAAAGTAATATGATGTCTGGGACTTGTTTCAAAATAATCCAGGATCAGGGGAGTAGGTAGACATAGAGAGAAGACAAGATTGGCCATGATTGCTAATTGTTAAAGCTGGATGATAAGAACGTGAAAATTCTACTTTATGTTTGAAATTTTCCATTAAAATATGCA